ATTAAACCTTATTTCTCACACAAGCACAGTTCTACCGCGGAAGGATCAGAAGGGAAATAGTTTAAAAAGCGAGTGCCATTTTGCATGTTCTGTAGAAAGCCTTGAAAAAAATGGACATTCCGTCATTTCCGCAAAACATTTAAAACCTGTTATCATTGTTTATCACTGATTATTGGAAGGCTTTATTTGTTTGATTGAAATTTACCCCCGATGTGGCTTCCAAGCACGTTACTTGGATTATTGGAGGTATGTTTGCCATTTTCCACAGCTTTCCTCTGTTTTTGTAAGTCAAAGGATAGCCTTCTTGTTGCCATTACAATCTTAGACAAAGGAATTCGATTCTCCTGGCACTGATATGAAGGATCCGCCCGAAGACCACTACACGCAAAACCTACGCAAAACCTGCCATTTTCCCATCTGCATTTGAGGGCTGGCAAGGTAGTGTTAGTTTCCGTTTTCCAAGATTGTAGCCTGCTTAAAGGGGTATTAAAATACCTTAACATATCAGTGCAACTCTGAAATCACTAGTTAGGAATTGTTAGGTATTCAACGTTCCCTACGAATGCAAGCCTCCGAGCTTCGACGAGTCGTTACTAATATACGTCAGGAAATGGAGATTATATCCACTCAGGCCTAAAACCACTGAACTAATCGAATCAAAACATCAAAGGCAGAAATACAAAAAAAATCTACAAGTGTAACGCTCCCCTTGCAAGAGCTATTCATACAATAGATAAAAATGTTATTTTTGACATGATTCATTTGAATATTTATTTTAACTTTTTACGGGGTCGTGTGATCTCAAATTTATTTTGTTATATTTATCCTACTGTTTCAAAATATGGTGTATTATAACCATCTTCCAAAGCATCTCCTGAAAGATTAGTTCGTTGTTGATCAAATCTAATATGAAATGCTCTTTGGACTTAAGAAGGAAAACGATCATTCTGGGTAACTTTTAGTGTCCTCATCGTGCGCAAAGTGCGTTAAACCCAAGAAGAATTTAAGAGATGTAAAACTAACCCTAAAACTGACATAAATATCATTCATAAACTGTTGGCTTTGCATCTCCGCAAAACAGGATCTAAGCAGAAAAAATCCGTGTTATTTTTAGCTTCCTGAACCCTTAGATTAAATTCAAACAGTTCAAAGGATTTTAAAGGTTGCATTTTAAGTGAGAAGGGGTTATTTTCGCGGGAGCTTATTATTGGACAGAGTGCCACACCCGGAAATTCTCACTCCTCTTTGCCTCGTCAACCTGGAAAGCTTTAAAGCAAACAAAAAACCTCTGGTAGCCGGGATTCTAAACTCAAGTGCATAGTCACTCTCCTCCTGGCAACAAATAATGAAGATCTTAAAAGACGAGTTCCCCAAAATGCCTATAACAAATTTTCGAGGGGTTATAGTCCCAACACTAGCTTTATTTTGCCATACATGCGGTGCAAATAAACCGTGTCCTACTACCAGCAAATCTTCATAGACTTCTACCATGTAAGCACTTCATTAACCTTTTAAGACTCAATATCCATTAAAAAAATCTCCAGGCTAATCTCCATACATTTCCTTCAAATTAAGTAAGAGAATTTGTAAAAAAGATCAAGGCATTTTCCTTTTGCGACTTTTTTATTAATTCTCATTACATTTAATATTGATTTTATATGATACTCTTAGGAGAAAATTTATGTTGGTCCCCCTCCGGGATTTTAAGGGTTAATACCACCAACTGGTTAATATTGTGCTTTCAAACACCAGTAGTTTATTCTGGCCTGAGTCCTTTCATTTCCTTACTCTACGACCTTGTTAATCCAACAACCCTGTCATTGGGTCTACCGACCACTTTTTGGAGTTTTCAGGCTACCTCAGAAGTTCACAATATACCTCTCTAATGCAACCGGTTGGATAGTAAAGCGATTAATCTAACAAAAAGAACTGTTTTTGACTATGCAACTTATAAATAATCAGAGTTAAGCTTTCCTTGTCATTCTACAGTTTCGTCCCGAGTAAGGTAATCAAAAACCGTCTTAAATTCTNTTTAAGAGATGTAAAACTAACCCTGAAACTGACATAAATATCATTCATAAACTGTTGGCTTTGCATCTCCGCAAAACAGGATCTAAGCAGAAAAAAAATCCGTGTTATTTTTAGCTTCCTGAACCCTTAGATTAAATTCAAACAGTTCAAAGGATTTTAAAGGTTGCATTTTACTTAAGAAGGGGTTATTTTTGCGGGAGCTTATTGTTGGACAGAGTGCCACACCCGGAAATTCTCACTCCTCTTTGCCTTGTCAACCTGAAAAGCTTCAAAGCGAACAAAAAACCTCTGGTAGCCGGGATTCTAAACTCAAGTGCATAGTCGCTCTCCTCCTTGCAACAAATAATGAAGATCTTAAAAGACGAGTTCCCCAAAATGCCTATAACAAATTTTCGAGGGGTTATAGTCCCAACACTAGGTTTATTTTGCCATACATGCGGTGCAAATGAACCGTGTCCTACTACCAGCAAATCTTCATAGACTTCTACCATGTAACCACTTCATTAACCTTTTAAGACTCAATATCCATTAAAAAAAATCTCCAGGCTAATCTCCATACATTTCCTTCAAATTAAGTAAGAGAATTTGTAAAAAAGATCAAGGTATTTTCCTTTTGCGACTTTTTTATTAATTCTCATTACATTTAATATTGATTTTATATAATACTCTTAGGAGAAAATTTATGTTGGTCCCCCTCCGGGATTTTAAGGGTTAATACCACCAACTGGTTAATATTGTGCTTTCAAACACCAGTAGTTTATTCTGGCCTGAGTCCTTTCATTTCCTTACTCTACGACCTCGTTAATCCAACAACCCTGTCATTGGGTCTACCGACCACTTTTTGGAGTTTTCAGGCTACCTCAGAAGTTCACAATTATACCTCTCTAATGCAACCGGTTGGATAGTAAAGCGATTAATCTAACAAACAGAGCTGTTTTTGACTATCCAACTTATTAATAATCAGAGTTAAGCTTTCCTTGTCATTCTACAGTTTCGTCGCGAGTAAGGTAATCAAAGACAGTCTTAAATTCTGGATTCCACGCTGCGGATTTCGGACTTGATGTACTGGATTCCGGATTCCAATCGTTAGCGAGATTCCAGATTCCTTGAGCTGATCATGAATTCTGGATTCCAAAGCCAGGCAAAATATTCCCGGATTCCAGATTACCTTACATGGGCAGGAGCCGATTGACCAGGGGCGACACAGTTAGAAAAGTGTAACAAACACTGAGCAATGATCTGTGCGCGTATTTCCTCAGCGGAGCTTCTATGTTTGTTACGCCGTTCTGATGAGCTACAATAATGGCCAAACACCCACTCTTGTGTCACTATTGGTAAGCCTTCTTCCTCTGAGTTTCTGGATTCACTTTCGCCAGTTCCGTTAATCCAAAGGCACCTCCTTTCTAACGGGTAGCTCTAAAAATAAAATATAAAAAAAATAACGGGCAACTCTGATTAAGATGCAACGCTTTCTAAAACGTTCACCTAGAGTTGGTTCCTGCTGTTCTTCAGTCATTTTCTTTGCATCGTTCAGAAGGACACCTCCCTAAAACGGACACCTTAAGTCGGTCACTTTCATGGATTCTCTATGAGGCGATCAGCCGACACCTACCTATTGAAACCGGACACCTAAGTCGGTCCCTGCCGTTCTTTAGACATTTTATTTGTGTCTCTATAAGACGGACACCTCCCTAAAAAGGACACCTCGAGTTGATCATTTTATTTACCCTGCATAAGGCGGTCACCTTCCTAAAAAGGATACCTCAAGTTGGTTGCTCCCGTTCTTCAGTCATTTTCTTTGTCTCCTTATAATGAGGCGGACACCTCCCTAAACCGGACATCTATAGTTGGTCCCTGCCGTTCTTCAATCATCTTTTTTGACTCTCTATGAGGCAGTCACCTCCCTAAAACGGACACCTAGAGCTGGTTCTTGCCGTTCTTCAGTGTCCTCTCTAGATGATATTGATTGAAAGAGCCGTTTCTTTTGTCAATTTGAAACCTGTATTATTAAAATGGACACTTCTGATCGGATAGTCACTACTAGTGGTATAAAGACTGGTCAAGCTATTCAACACTCTAGGACTTAGACGTAAATGACTTCAGAGAGAGCGCGAAAAGTAAAGAGTTCGGCGGATCACGCGAATTTCGCAACCTAAACTGACAAAGATAGAATCTAGATTGGCTTAAGAGTTACTGATGAGGAATGCATGATATAACCTTTGTAGATTAACAGTAGATATGACCTTGATCAGCATTTCCCTTTACAAGGGATGACCACAGTTGCACGATTAAAATTAACGACTACTTCCAGTCCTGGAAGCGTTGATTTAAGGATTATATCTTTCTCATGTTAACGTGACCCATTCTATGGAAACCTTTACGCGAGCGAGCTGTTTTAAGAGGACAGTGAATCACTTTGGGCAGGCTGTTCGCTTTTGGCATGAAAAAATTCCGAGATTCTCGAGTGCCTGATTTAAATATGAAGCCACTGAGCTCTTCACATGCTAAACATTTTGATCCAAGCTTAGCCTTCTCGGACTCTTTTATATTTCTTTTTTTCAAAATTCCACTTGACTTTTCTTTCTTTTTATACAGCAGCTGTCTTGCCTGTTATATTAAAGGGGCGCTAAAATCACGCGAAAAGGCAAGTTTGACCAGCTTGAATAAGACACACGGCACTACACATTAAGCTACATTTCACCCTCCTGATGGACGGACATAGACGTATAATCAACGCGAGCTGACAACTTGTGCGAAGAACTCGNCTCCCTAAAACGGACACCTTAAGTCGGTCACTTTCATGGATTCTCTATGAGGCGATCAGCCGACACCTACCTATTGAAACCGGACACCTAAGTCGGTCCCTGCCGTTCTTTAGACATTTTATTTGTGTCTCTATAAGACGGACACCTCCCTAAAAAGGACACCTCGAGTTGATCATTTTATTTACCCTGCATAAGGCGGTCACCTTCCTAAAAAGGATACCTCAAGTTGGTTGCTCCCGTTCTTCAGTCATTTTCTTTGTCTCCTTATAATGAGGCGGACACCTCCCTAAACCGGACATCTATAGTTGGTCCCTGCCGTTCTTCAATCATCTTTTTTGACTCTCTATGAGGCAGTCACCTCCCTAAAACGGACACCTAGAGCTGGTTCTTGCCGTTCTTCAGTGTCCTCTCTAGATGATATTGATTGAAAGAGCCGTTTCTTTTGTCAATTTGAAACCTGTATTATTAAAATGGACACTTCTGATCGGATAGTCACTACTAGTGGTATAAAGACTGGTCAAGCTATTCAACACTCTAGGACTTAGACGTAAATGACTTCAGAGAGAGCGCGAAAAGTAAAGAGTTCGGCGGATCACGCGAATTTCGCAACCTAAACTGACAAAGATAGAATCTAGATTGGCTTAAGAGTTACTGATGAGGAATGCATGATATAACCTTTGTAGATTAACAGTAGATATGACCTTGATCAGCATTTCCCTTTACAAGGGATGACCACAGTTGCACGATTAAAATTAACGACTACTTCCAGTCCTGGAAGCGTTGATTTAAGGATTATATCTTTCTCATGTTAACGTGACCCATTCTATGGAAACCTTTACGCGAGCGAGCTGTTTTAAGAGGACAGTGAATCACTTTGGGCAGGCTGTTCGCTTTTGGCATGAAAAAATTCCGAGATTCTCGAGTGCCTGATTTAAATATGAAGCCACTGAGCTCTTCACATGCTAAACATTTTGATCCAAGCTTAGCCTTCTCGGACTCTTTTATATTTCTTTTTTTCAAAATTCCACTTGACTTTTCTTTCTTTTTATACAGCAGCTGTCTTGCCTGTTATATTAAAGGGGCGCTGAAATCACGCGAAAAGGCAAGTTTGACCAGCTTGAATAAGACACACGGCGCTACACATTAAGCTACATTTCACCCTTCTGATGGACGGACATAGACGTATAATCAACGCGAGCTGACAACTTGTGCGAAGAACTCGGCAATATTACTGAAAAACTACAACGATGCCAGAATCCCAAGCTGCGTGCTATTGCTGACCTGGCTAACTTACTCTCGAGTTACAAAGTCGTTATTAACTTTATGATCCGTCGCGTTTGACTTTGATTTGACTTTGTCTAAAGGGTCCAGTAAACGTCAGGTTCTTTCGATTAAACGTCTCACTCGCTGCTATATCTGTTGCGCATCACTACGGTCACAAATGGTAAGGAAGGTTTTTTTTTATGTCGTGTCTAAACTGTTCAAAATGGCGCTAGAGGCCCGTTATAATGACCGCCGGTTTCGGTTATATTGAGTTGTTCACAGGGCGAGATTTGACCGCTCATATAAAATATACTACACGGAATATTGCGGTGAAATTAGAAAAAAACGTTTTCTGTTGGTAAGTTCTTGACTGACTGTAAGAATATTTTTGAACTTTTGAAAGATTGGACTGACTTGAACAAAAAAAATTGATTGATTCATATAAATTGAACCATCTTTGGTTTCTGCGCATGGCAAGTATCCTTCACCATCTAAAACTGTTGAATGTTGCGAAAAATTTTTAACTGACTTTAGTCAACTTTACACCTAATTACCTTCTGTACCACTTAAACTTATCTTTCATCAACACTTTCTGCTTGCAATCACGTACATCTATCTTCTGTTTCGCTTTGGCACAAATGACCTTGCCAAAGCTTTCTCTCATCGTCGCCTACTATTACAAGCAGTTGTGAAACCCAACCTTTACTAGTTTACACCTTTTCAAAGGCAGATGTGTTATCAACGGTACTTCGCTTGGACGAGTGAGCCGATAAGGAACACCTATAAACGTTTATCTCTGGCTGTGACCTGCTGCTGGGTCATGCAGTTCGAGCGTATTTCGCCGCCCAAGAGATACCTTCCTTATGCGTCAAGTCTGTGTTGTTTTCCTCTCCCATTTTGGGAACGATTAGGGGGACTGTTTATCTGCTGATCTAAATAGTTCAAGGAATCGTTTGGTCAGTTTACGATATCATTGCTAGCTTGCCCAAGGTCTGTCCATCACAGTCTGCAGATTTCTACTTTGAAAAATCTTGCGGCAAGTCTGTCTGTATCAAAACAAACCTTCTTTTTCTCTTTTTTTCTCTCGTTTTAAAGAACTGTTTACCTAGGACGTGCTAATTCAAGGATTTTGCCCGTTAAAATTTCTTTGAGAGTTAATTCTATTGTTCACTTTATCCGCGTGGAAATAAATTCCACGCTGCCGTAGTCAGCACTGTTTGTGTGTATATCGCCTATGTTATGATTAGAATACTTAGAGAATGTAAAAGACTTAAGATTGATTGATTTTCGCTTGATCTTTTTGTTATTTAATGGCTCTCTCGCCAATAATAAGTGTAAAACCCGAAGGCACCAGAAGGTTCGCTTGCTTATATTTCCGAGCTCTTTTCTGTGAGTATATTTTCTTTTGTCTGTTATTGTTTTTCTCAGGTCAGTTAGTTTTGTCCCAGCTTAACCTTTACATCTGCCGCAAGTTAGAATTCTTGCCCCCTTAGCTCAATCCTGGCTACAAGAGATATTTAATGAGGCCGGATTGAACTACACCAACTCCATGCGGCTCAGTCAGATAGCCGGACCTTATGGAGCCCTAAGAAATTCAATCGCCTTCCGAATCAATGACGAAGCACATCTGTGATCACAGCGAGTTTTAAAGTTCGAGTTCGTCATACACAGTGAGTGGCACTCACTTACTGAGATTTTTTCGCGGCCTGATTTGGGCAGAATGATTGGCTCGATACAAAGGAAACTCCCCACCAGTGAGATGGACCGTGAAATGAGCCGCCAAGTTCTGATAACCAAGCTAGGAAATCCTGAGCGACGTGGAATCTTCTTTATCAAAATCTTAGAGTCAACTTACATGCTTTAAAAATATCGATGGAGTGAAACCACGGCATGAGCAATTAGGCACCGATTAGAGATGAACTTGACATTTTTTTCTATAACTTAATTAAACAGAACGTTTGCGCTCAGATGCAAAGAACACACAATAACGAAAAGAACAACTTACATCCCCTATCACCTAAATTGTGAACACGTTACAAGTAAAGATTCGCGCTAATCAGAGCGTGTAACCTTTTGGAAAGGAAACTAGGGTTATGTTTCAAGTGCGCTGTCACCAGCAAACTTGTTTGGGCCGAGGGCCGGGCAGGGACCAACATCTGGGTGCCTATCTTTCCTAAAGATAAAAAAAAAATTCCCAAGTAATCCGCCTTTTTCTGGATGAAAAACAGTGACAATATTTTCGCGTTTGAAAATAAAGGAATGATTGTGAAAATCGTGTACCAACAGTAAACTACACAAATTGTAACCTCTTCTGCTTGCCAGCATGGAGAATGGGCAGTTTTGACTCCTGTTTTTTGGCAAGCCACGATTCACGAAAAAAAACTGGAAATGGGTTTTAAAAAGTTGACGTGAATTTCTGATAAGTTTGCCATTTGTCACACACCCAGCTCTTATAGCAATCCGGTTCTGTCAATCAAGGGTAATCAAAGCATTATCATTCAGTTACGTCAAAGAGCACCAAGCTTCGGTTCGAAGACAGCTGCTTGTGGTTCGAAATGGATGTCAACTGGGAAAATCGCCCTGGGAGCTCTGATACGTGAATGTCGTTGAATTTGGGTCTCTTGGAGGCCTCTTTCCAGGTAACATGTGTTCATCAGTGTGTTAGTGTCTCGAGAGGAAGCTTTTTTTAATTTGGTGCAATCTTATCAGTTCGCGTTTCGTCAACAGCGCGGGCGCCGTGAAGACGATCACTCTAAACGACGTATTGAATATTGCTTTGCAAAATACGACTACGAAAACAGAATGGTTCGGCGACTCGACTATCCTCGACTTCGAACGATAAATTAACCGAAAAGGCCACAGGCAAACCTCTAAAATGCCAATAAAAGTTTACGGAACATGTCGGTCGATCGCATCCCGTCTTGCTATATCAACAAGATGCGTTGGAATCTGTGATCATAAACCTCTAGTGTGTTCCAATAGGGTCCTACTAGGAGTCTTTAAGAGTACCTTCGCAGGTAACTCAAAATATTTTGACTTTAAGGGGTCAAAAGTAGAAATATGTTATAGTTAACAGACTAAAATCTCGCGCGCTGCCTGTCGAATGTTTTGTCTTGTATGTCTGGTCAACCGTAACACATCTTTCGACATTTAATGTTGTTCAGTGTAATGTTTTAAAAAACAATGCGCAACCTATCGATGGCGATCGCGACCCTTCTTCACATGTGTTGTATATCTAGTTTGTATGTATCGTTAATGTTTGTTCTTTGAAAGAGGAAGAAGTGCTGTGTAAATGACCACATGCCTCTTTGTCTAATGCACTAATCTCTGTTTTTACTTTATTGATATTTTGGCCATTCCGTGCCTCAGCGAAGTCTGTCTTGGGGCGAGTTCCATCAAGAGCATTTAAAACTTTTCCGATCCTCGAACTTTTTATTGATATTGATTGACAAACGTAGCCGCTTTTTAACCACACTACATATCCCAATTAAACTTGACTAACTCAGTTATACGACTTGTTGTGACGTTCTTCGATGTTGTAGTATGAGTTATTTTAATACGCAAAGAAACTTATGAAGTATTAATCAAGTAAATAGCTTTTAATAGTTTCAATTAAAGGCATTTGTTGTTTAAAATGTTAGCTGTAATATAAGGGTATATTGGGTGTTTCACGTAATATTTCATTTATCTTTCATTTACATTTGCATGGTTTTCTTTTTTTTTTAACTCAAACGGACGACCTTTACAGGTTAAGAGGTAGTTTGGTTTTCGGTTTCAATTTTAATATTTTTAGACAGAAATTCTACAACATGCTTTTCACGAAGTTCATATTTGATTCGATCGCTTAGTTAATAACTGAAACATTTTCCCTCGTTATGTAATATCTGTTAGTTACCTCAACTTTCGCTTTTCCTTTTTTTCCGGAAAAAAAGGTTTGCGTTAATTGGGTTAGCATTTGTACGATCCCTACCGATGCACTAAAGCGCTGACTGAGTTCAAAGATTAACCCTGATCTCGTTCCTTGTTCTTTACAGGTATAAACGCTTAAAAGATTCGTTATGCAGAGCTTAAAGAAATTATATCTTTGCAGTACCATCTTTTTGCTTCTTCTCGTCAGCCTAGGTAAGTATTTTCTTTTGTAAATTGTACTTCAGCGTGTCATTACCACCGGAATTGCTGCACACATAAAGTTTTCATATGCATTATGTACGGTAAAATCTCGTGTGAGACTTGTGTTTTAGTACGTGATTGCCTAATTTTTTCGTCGGTAAGCGTCGTGCGTGATCGCTGATCGCGGTTTATTTAATCCTTTCTCTTCCGATAAAAGTTTATTTCAGAAAGGTTGCTGTGATAAGGTGATATTGTCGAAGCCGATTGTTCTTGAACGATCTCTTGGCAAGCGTTCAATTATTGTATTTGCTAACTTAAGGGATCTGTTTCTGAAAAAAAGGAGAGCCAAATGTAGCAAATAGGAAAAAAGATTTCAGAACATGAGATTGGTTGTTTTTATAGGACCTTGTACTGAGCAGAAAACGTACAAGTCAATGTCGCGGGCCGAGTCTCTCTCATGTAATTAACCTTGAAAACTGATTAACTCGCCTTTTTAAGGGTTATTGTCTAAGTACCAAGCATGTGATTGATCAACTGGACAGTCTGTTTCCTACACTGAAAGTTGTCGTTTTGGAGAATAATCCTGAATTTTTTTCTACCCATTTGACTCTATCAAGTTCTCTACTAAGGGTGACTTGCGGTTTAAGTCATCTTATCATTTTCCGAATTTTGGTTTATGCTGTCTTTTGACCTTGGGCCACAGGTGGACAAATAAATTGTTTCACATCATGTTTTACGTGAAGGAGTTTTAATCCTTATCTGTTTTATAAGCGTTTCCCTTTTAATGGATTTTCCCTTTGTGGTAATTCTGGAATTTGTTCATAACCTCATTCTAGTCAGTCAGGTTAGTTGAATGAACGTTTTTCTCACGTTTAAAAGCTTATAACACAGATTCATCTCACATTTGATGAGGATTAATGACCATGCAAAACATTTCTTAACTTACAGGAAATTAGGAGAGTTTAAAAGACACGAATTGTGACTTTCATGTGCATGTGCCATTCCCCATTTATATCAATAAAAATAGTGTTGACTTGTCAAATTTTTTTGTCTAAAAAAAATAGGGGGAGGTTAGAGTGTCGGTTTTTATTTTTTGGTGGTGGGGATTCACGTGTTTTTTTTTCTCCACCTTTTTTTTTTTTGGTGTTGTGTGGTTTTTTTTTTTTTGCTCCGCCTTTTTTTTTTTTTTTTTTTTTTTTTTTTTTTTTTTTCCCCCCCCCCCCCCCCCCCACCAACAGGACAAAATCCAGTATTTCCAGTCTCTGATTCAAGTCAAGATTCAAAGGTTAGAGACTTGTCAATCAAAGGACAAGTATGCCTCCCTTGATGCTTGGAGCAAGCCTTGAGGAGCCACTGGGCTCTAATAATGAACAGCCAGGATAATGTCAACATGCTATCATAGTTACTAACTATACTAACTACGATGCTATATACAGATTACAGATAGCTCATGACATTCAACAGACTTCACTTATTGACAACTTTAAGTACCTTACAGTGAAAATTTCTACAGACTCTGACTGGAGTCTCAGCAGCTAACAAACTCATAACTTACAAACTGGCAAAATGACAGTTAAAACAGCAGTTGAACTTCTATTCAAGGGACACCCTTGGGATTGAGGCAAGTGTCCCTTGAATAGAGGTAGGGCTGGAGCTTGTTAATTAATAACCAACAAAGACAACATAAAAAATCATCTTCAACTTATCTCTGTGACATTATATGTTGAATTCACACAAGTTCAGTACTTTGATTTCAGTGACATAGTTCAGTTTGTGAAAGCTTCCATAATTGTGATTCGTGTACACTTAAAGATATCAACCCTCTTTATGGTCAGTCACTTTTTCAGTGCTAAGTTCTCCCCTGAATGGAGGTTAAACCCGGTTTTTGGAACCCAGAAAGTGTCACTTTCCCCTAATAAAGGTGTCCCTTCAAAACAGGTAATAAATGCAAAGATTATGTGGGTATTTTTGCGTCCCCTGAATGGAGGTGTCCCTTAAATAGAGGTGTCCCAATGGAGAGGTTCTACAGTATATAACTTACATATTGAGTAAAGTATGAATAGAATGTATTATTGTGTAGTGATGCAACTGTTTTCCCTTCCAGGCTCATTACAAAATGCCTTTGGAAAAGAAACCCCCCCAAGCACCCATCATAAAGTCTTCAACAATGATAAGAAAGCAGTTGAATTCTTGAGGAAATTATCAGAAAGAGCGCGTCCTCAGCAACCAACCCCAAAGTACAACACTGCATCAGACATCGACTTGCGCCATGTAGTCTCCACACGATTTATGAAGGAAATGGCCAAGCTGTTTTTTTCTCTCCCGGATTTGAATCAATGTAACATAATGGCAGCTGTATCAAGGACAGCAGGGTGCAAATTATCAAATATTACTGGGTTTCTTGTCAACTTAACAGAGACAAAACACAAAGCTGCTATTGTGAGCTGTCCTGCTGATGGTTCTATAAAATATGGTACAAGGTGCAGTGAAGCAAACAAAACCATTGTGGTAAGCTCTATTGGCAATGAGCTCTTGGAAGTCTTTAGGAAACTACCAGCTCCTTTTAAATGTAACGTTGTCAACACTGTTGCTCTGATTTATAACCTTAAAGGTCGAAGACATTTAGCTAACAGATTCTCAAATCAGGAGTTAACTGCCCGCAAAGCTCGTAACATGGTTATGAAAATTTATCCATCCGTTAGTGTACCTAAGACTTGTATAGACCCTGAGATACCAGTAAATCACCTTGTACCCTCTGCTCCTTTGGTGAATATCACTGTAAACCTTGGCAATGGAAACAAGACATCCTGGTTAGAGAGTCTTAAGGAAAAGGGGCCAAACATTTTGAGGGCTGTCTATGAATATGAAGCACTGAAAAAAAAGATTATTGGGCAAGGTAGTACTCAGCAGTATTTAGAGGAACAGAAGGAAGTCATTGCAAGTGCCCAATTTGTCCTAGTCACAGCAAATGGCAGCAATAATCCACTTTCAGTTCTCTTCAAACTGAAAGTGAAAAGGAAGCAATCTAATCAATTGAGAGAAATGAAGTCAACGTACAGGATTGTGCAAGCTCTGGCAGAAAAAACACAACAACAGCTGAGGAAAATCTTTAATGCCTCCAATGTCAGTGTTGGGCTGAGTAGAGAGCAGTCAAAATTGACAAGAACATCCCCAAACGAAAACAACTGGACCTTGAATCAGATCAGTAAAGCAAGGGATATGTTTCCAAAGAATTTATCCGAATATCACAAGCAACTAGCAAAAACAGCACGATGTGTAGTCATCTATTACATCTCTAAGAAAATGAAGAAAAGTCCCAGAACAATGGAGATGTTGTACAACTCTTACAATCAATTATCAAGAAAACATTGCTGTTACTACACAGAGAGAGCTGTTTCCACAGACACACCAATTACTATACCCTTCACAGAGGAAATTTTCAGAAACAATCTGGCAAGTTTTTCAACTGTGACTTACAAAACAAGGCTAAGAATACCAGAAAGGAATGGCCCCACCATGGAAATTGTTTCAGAAAAGGCTGTCAGTGAGGATTCCTCAGCTTTGGAAATTGCACTTTTTACAATACTGGGACTTCTTTGTGTTATTATTCTGGTTTTTACAGTCAACTGGGTAACAGCTTTGAAAAGCAGGCCAAAATATCAAAACAATTCTGTGCCAAATGGTACACCTCCGACTGTAGTGCTCCAAGGCAGTGCTGTTTCTTCTTCTAGTAACAGTGGACAACATGATTGTGTGTATGTTAGTAATGGTTATCAAAGGAATAAAAGGAAAATGCAGCCTTCTGTTAAAACGCATCTTTCTACAGCAACTGAAAATAAATTAAGCAAACTAAACTCAGCACAGCCATCTCATGATCTTGGATGTGCTGATGAAAACACTGGCCCTGGAAGTTCTCCATCTTTTCATGATAGCGCTGACATTACTACATCAGGAAATACCAGAGCACGTGTAGAGAATGAATATTGTGCAATAGATTATTCTTTACAGCAGCAAAGGAATGGCAATACTCCAGTGGAATCTCCTTGGAGAAAGCGTCTTCCTGAAAAGACTGCATGCAACCAGGGAAGGAAAGAGACACTTGATCTCAGTGTGTGGGACTGTAAGAGAGATTTAGAATCACAAGGAAAAGCGATAAGTTATTGCAGTATTTCTGACTCAAGTTGTAAATTACAGCCTCATAGAACAATAGGTCCCAGAGGCTGTATACCATCAGAACAGTCACATAAAATGGTAGTCGTTTTGCTGGATAGTAAGGAAACAAAAGAGGAAGAGGTTTAACATGCTTGTCGCAAACGTGTTTGACAACAACAAACAAAGTCACAAGGCCATCCTCTGCTAAGATAAATCCTAAGTACTGTGACATACCAGTAGACCATTGTTGAGAAACAATGGTCTATAAAGAATATATCTTAGTTGGGATGTCTTCACGGAATCCACCCTGGTTTTTATTTCTGGAATGTTATTGTGTCAAAGAGGGAACAAACATCACAATTAAGAAAACCTAGAAACTGCTGTCTGTAACAGTATACAGTTTATGGATTGTGGTTTTAACTCCCAAGCTACTGTTCACCACACAGGCAACATTCCAGGAATATTTTCAGGTTCACAGCTCTCTTACATCACTGACTTTTAATGCTGTACATAACAAGTTTTGTTTGTGTTATTTATTACATGCAAAGTTCCAACACATATTGATATATCACTCAGAGCAGAACAATCTGTTTTTTTCCAGTAAAATCTTCAGTCAACAATTACATTCTCCTTAATGGCTAAAACTGTCAACAGTAGTTTTAAATGATAACTTTAACTAATCACATTGAAACTTGAAAAAATACATTTCAACCCTTCAACACTTTGTTGCATCTTATTTTTAATAAGACACAAAAAATTTAATTTTGGTCTTTTGTACAACATCATTTTTGTAAATATAACCCTTCAACACTTTGTTGCATCTTATTTTAATAAGACACAAAAAATTTAATTTTGGTCTTTTGTGCACCATCAATTTTGTAATTATTTTTGCCCCTTTAATTAGCTTTCATTAGGAAACAAGGTAACACTTCCCCCCACCCCACCCCACCCTCACATGAGTGAGGTAAAAAGGTCTGAATGGTATCTAGAAATGAAGGCTGGGATATGAACATGAAAACATACAGTAAAAAAAGCATAAATCTGTAGCTTAGTATTTCCTTTAAAATTTTGTGGAAGAGCAACATAAGTGCTTTGATCAGTGACCTCTACGTCTCTTTCCCTTTTTTCAACGTGTCTTTCCAGAAAATACACACCCCATGGAGGGACAGGGGGTTGACGTCTACATCTCACTAAGAACTGATGTCTAGTCGCCAGGTGTATGCAATCAGTCGATGGGGCATTGAACAGCTAGGGATTTCTTTTGGTTCTATTTCCCTTATAGCAATGGCCATGTTACGTGGTCTTAAAAAGGTCATACTTTTAACCAGAACAAGTTTAAAGCTTAACTGAAATTTCTAGAAAGGAAGGGAAGAGTTAAGCCAAAAAACTGTCCATGGGGGATTATGAATATTTTCTGCAGCAACATAGAGCTTCCCTCAGCTTGTTTGGTTTCGTCAGAGTACTATCAACTGCTAATTTAAAAAATGGTAATGTTGATCCATCAAAGAATATTCCAGCTGGAAGCCACTGAAAACTGGTGGCAGCCATCTTAAATTGTGCTGAGATAAGTTAGTCTCCTTCTAATAACTAGGGTAGGTGGTCCTTGAAAATTGCAGCTTCTTCTGTACAGCTCTGTCTATCAACCTCTTCCCCAATGAAGGCCCTTATGCTCCGGGTGTAGGAATTTGATGGGTTGTTTGAACGGGCAACTTGGTAATACTTTTCTGTTCATTTCTCTTTTCTTTCTCTGCTTTATTATTTTTTCTTTTTGCTAAGATGCAACAAAGTCTTTTGATTCAATTTCAATAGTTGAATCCCCTAATGATATGCTTGTACCACTAAAATAAATCACTGTAGTGTTAAAGCAAATTGGTCATACCAACTATTTACATTACTTTCTGTTCCTCATTTTATGTACATACATTTTTAGTTGCTTTGTTAAGAAAATTGACTTTAGCTTTATTTTAGGTACGTTGAATTTCTGCTGTGAATCAAACCCATTCAACTCTCAAAGCCTTAAAAAAAGATATAGAAGTTTAGGGTTGCCTGTCTATAGCAAGCTACAAGCAGGATAAACAGTAAATCACCAAATTATGTGCTCAAACAAACATTTATATTTTGATCACTCTATAAATATTATTTGATCAAGGCTAGTTTAAATTTATGTTAAATTGAAGCTCATATTCTTTGTAAATTATTCTACTTAACAGCAAACACAATGGTTTATCACCTAAAGAAAGTTATTGTGTAGCTGATAAAAAAAATACTTACAGACACATCTGATCTACTCATACTTGTACATAGAGAAATCAACTTATTTATCTTGTCACAAATATTTTGATGTGGCATTAAGTAAAAAGATTAGGAAATGGATGTATAGTGTTATTTTGTTACTGTTATAAATTAGAACATTAGGCTAATTCAGACATTAAAAATTCAAATTTTTGACAATTGAGTGACTTAAGAATGTATAAGACAGAGACAGGGGAACCACTTTAGTTCTTATGGGATATTGATAAAGCTAACTATTTTTGGCTGGAGTATTTTTTACTGGGAGAGGTTCAGGGATGGCACACTGGTGCCCTTAAAGGAGATAAAATTTTCAACTCTTTCTTATCCAACACCCCTCTATGACTAACACCTAGTCCCTGTTTTGCAAGCCCTTTTCTTTGACTCTCTATTAGGCGGACACCTTTTTATGATGACACTCAGTGGTTGACCCAACAGTGTCCATCTTAGCGACAGTTGTCTGAGAGAAAAGTCTTGAATGAATCTAAAAAGTTAGCCAAAGTTTCCCAAGTCCACCAGCAGCAAAAATGACAGTGAAACATTTATTATCCCCAGCATTTTACATACTATAACTAAGGTATCATCACTACTAAAGAATGGCAAAATGTTCCCTCAAAGAACAACTATTACATCTGAAAAGTGCAGAGAACTGGTGTCAGCCTCCTTAATCTGTACTGAGACACTTGGTTCACTATTTAATAAGTAGCCCTTGTAGCTATTATGTACAGCTACACAGTATTAAGAATGGCAGTCAAAAACCTTTTATATGGACTCTAAAGGGGTAGTTGACAAAGTGTTGGCATTACTTTCGCCATTTACAACCAAAGTGAATGTTGGAGTAGTCTTGTAGGGTGCTAGGGGGGGGGGGGTACTCCTACATACATACATACATACATACATGTATGGGGAGGCTCTGCCCGAAAGGGGTACCTCTTTTAGGCTGCAGGTATATGAAAGGGTAGAGATTTCACTAGTTTAAGGATATAAAAGGGTAGGGAAATCTGTCATTTGGGTCTGTAAAAGGGCTAAAAGATGAATTTTGTTGGGTTAAAAGATAAGGTTGAGAAAACGTTCTATTTTGGTGATTGATCCCTATTTAAAAGACAGTGCATTTACAGTAGTTAACCCTTTAAACCCTAAGATCAAAATTTGAATTCTCATTTGTTGCTCCTATTTATTTCCTGCAGAAGTAGCGGGGAGAAGTTGACAAAATATCAAGCAAATTCATTTTGTGTGATTTTGTGTGTGATTCTCATGACCACTCTATTTTACAAAGCATTGATGTTACAAGGAGAAAATTGATGCTGATCACTCTTAGGGCTTAAAGGGTTAAAAGGGATGCAAAGTTCTAAACAAGGTATGTGAAAGGGACACCATTTGTCAATAGAAGGTATATAAACGAGGTACCTCTTTCATGAAAAATGGCATGTAAAAGGGTAAGGGGTTGGACCTTGGGGTGGAGCCTCCCTCTATACACATTTATTGAGTACCCCCCTCCCCCGGGTAGGGTGGTGCTATCTTTTAAGTGTGTAAATGAAATCCTATAATCTCTTTAGCAGTATGTTTACGTGGTACTATCTGTTTTTAAAGTCTTACAAAGTGAAATTTGGAAAATATGTTGAATTTTGACTTTGCCAATTTTGGAAGTGAAAGGTATAATAAATAGAGTGGAACCTCCATTTGTGACCACCCATCCAAAATACCAAAATGAGTTTCCCAGTAATTTCACTTTTTGTTGGAACTTGTTGTAAACAACCTCCTCTCATGAGTAAATGCCAAATCTTGGCATTTGAGGAAGGAAACAGCTGATATTTTGCGACGCCACCTCTAGTTTCTTTGAAATTATGTCTTAGGAATGACTGCAGAGATTCCATACTGATGACCGGCCACTATTCAAGTCTGGGAAGTGCTTCTGATTGGTTGAAAATTTGCTTCATCTAATCAGAAGCACTACCCAGATCTGAGTAGTGACATGTCATCACTATGGAATTTTTGTAGTCATTCCTCAGATGTCTTTTGAGAGCAGGCCAATTTGTTGGCCAAAAGTCGGCTGTTTTCTCAGGCCAGTATCACCGTAGGTCTGACTGTACTACACTGAGATGTTGGAACAGATCACTTTACGTTTCTGGGGTTTCTGGGAAACTGCCCACCTACCCCTCCCCTAAGCCAACATTAACACTTACTTCTCTCTTCGGGCAAAATGTTAATGATAATGATCCTTTGGAACTATGTGTGTTTTATTTAAGGGATGAACAGACTTATTCCCAAGCTCTCATATATAGGTGTCGATAAGAGGTGAAGTTTAACATTATGTAGTTCAAGTTAAGACAAAACTTACCTTCCATAATTTTCAAAGATACTTGGTGTACCATTCTCCTTCATCCAAAGATTTATGCCCTCCTGATCATTAGAAATGTTGGAAAACTATTTAAAGAAATTAGAGATCAGTTAAAAAAAATAAACCTGTTTGTATTATTAAAGGAGGAATTTTTGCATATCAAAGATTCCGCAGAGCAAATTGTTCACACCAATTATTGGCTAGTTTATCATAAATATTAAAACATTTCATGGCCTTGACTGAAGCGACTGAATCCTTTATTTAAAAGTTCAAAGTAAAAAACAATCATTACACATAAGCTGTTTATTATCTTCGAGTCTCATTCAAGTACTTCTATCTAAGATTCTATCAATCTTATTTTTCACGCTTCAGTAACTAAAAAAGACAGTAAATGATCAATTATTATTGTACTCACCAATTTGAAAGTTTCGTGCTTGATACGAAAACCATGCTCTCCTCGAAGTGAGATGCGCTTTTCAACTACTTTTTCTCTTTATCCAAAACCAGGAACGATCAGATGTTCTTTGCCTCTTTGCCACTCAGTAAAAAGAAATCCCCACTTCCCGCCATTACAGCTTGTTACCCGCCAGTTTCCCGCCATTTTGAACTCACCCCATCGCCTCGAGTAAATTCCGAAGCAGACTTGCGGATTGCCGCTTCGGTTTTTAACAGTTGTTCATCGCTAGTTCTTAATATCTCTGCTACACAGAAAGACATGTAAAGTTCATCCGGCAATATCCATAACTCATACCCTTACTAACTAAAAGTTTCCTTGCCAGCGCGCGAGTTTCTTGGGGGATGGGGGAGAGCAGTGAGCGCTGATTACCGCTGATCACATGACTTACAGCATTCTTTTCTATTTTGTTTTTTCCCAGTCATGTGGGATCTTCATCCAGGATTTACGTAATCTGAAACAAGCTATAAATGAGTTTGGAAACGTTCCCCCCGTCATCAGATATGACTTCCACCGCGTCTTCATCAGTTTTGGACGAGAGAACACCGTTAACGCGGTCAGATTCTGCTCTTTCTCGACAAACAGGCGCACATCAGTCGACGTCCGGCATCTTCCGTGGACACTTACCATCAATGAATCGAAACCGAAACTCGCTCTTTCCGCTGGCTTGCATTATTCTAGCTGTGGTTCTTGAAAGAATAACTTTCTACGGGATCCTAGCGAACTTGGTTTTGTACCTTATAAACATGACTAAGTTTAGCCAGTCTGCTGCCGTTAGCATAGTTATGATTTTTACTGGGATGGCCTGGCTAATGTCGACAGTGGGAGGGATTGTAGCAGACTCATACAGTGGCCGATATAATGCTGTTTGGGGGAGTCTAATGATCTATATCGTTGGTGCTGGAATGATTTTTTATTCAGCTCTTCTTACACACACGCACTACCCTGTTAGCGATGTATGCAATCAATTGATAGTATTTTTAGCTTTGTTGGTAATTTCCATTGGAGAGGGTGCGTACAAAGCTAACATCACTGCATTTGGTGCTGATCAGTTACAAGGACATGATGACAACAGATACCGGCGATTTTTTAATTGGTATTACTGGGGTATAAACCTTGCGTCTTTCACAGCCTATGCTGGCCTTGCGTATATAGAGCAAGAATTCACATTTTCTTTGGCGTTTGGCATATTACTGGCTTGCATTGCTTTGGCCAGTTTTGTATTCTGTGTCTGTAGGTCACGCTATATCACTCAACCTCCTGCTGGACACCTTCTGAAAAAGATGTATCACATTGTGAAAGAAGCAAGGCTTAAGAAAAAGGAAGCATCTACGAGGTATAATTAAGAAATGGTAAATGTGCAGTGTGCAACCATCAAGTTAGGGGTACATGCGGGAGGTTGCTAAGCACAAAAGAAGTGGACATGTAAGAGTCACACAAGGCAATAGCCGAGTGCAACTCTAGCTTGTTGAGTGCTTAGTAAACCTCCCAATTGCATTCATCTCTTGATAGTTGCACAGCTGCAACGTTTACCATTTATTTTATAACATAATCAAAAAAGAAAACATTTCCATTTCCCTATGGTTGAGTCAGTCATCGGTACTGTAGACGAGTTGATGTATGCTGTCATCTGCCTGCGCATAAACAAATCATGACTTTCAAATACTTGCCTTTGAGTTTTTCTTTTGCTGAATCAACTGTTCTCCATGTTAAGGTAAATTGCAAAAAGATTTTTTGTTATCCTAAATGGTATCTGTCTACTTGGTCTTACTATTAGGGTAAGTACTTCGAGGGAAAACTATAAATGTAAACATAAACACTAACTACAATTCCAGCTAATGTGTGCGTAACTCAACTAAAATTTTTAATCAATGAAAGGTACACAACAAAGCTGTCTCAAATCTGAGCGTGTTTCCTAAAATATTTGCTTGAATTTAACAGCAACTTGACTAAAAGGTCAATAACACAGTGCTAATTAATGCATTTCCATTTCAAAACAGACTTTCTCTACTAAAACACACAAAATGTACCTTAAATTTTGAGCTTGAATCCTCAAAAAATTTCACTCACTCAGTTGTTCTTCTGAGCTCCCAGCTGCAAAGGAAACAATGACGACTTTCTCCAGGGCAAATTTGTTGCCCAATCTTTTCACTTTTCTTCGAAACAAAAACTGAGTATTTTCTTCAACTTCTACTTTTCATTTGTATATTATTTTCATCGGTTCATTTTAAACCACACAGGAGAGAAGTTTACTGAATTTGCCTCAATTTCACCACGCTAGCTTTTCTTTGCATGCACCAACGGGCAAATGGTGGATGGCTAAGTGACCAATAAGAGCACACGCTTTACTTTGTCATGTTATAAAGATATGCGTACCCTTCTGCTGTGGTTTAAATTTATCCATGATACAAACTGTTTTCTTTTGCAACATTTATGGACCATCAGCAAAACGTATGGGGGAGGGGGTATGTGACATGCAAAAAAGATATTTGTGGAAAAAATTGCATGCACACCACGTAACCCTAACATATATTCATGCACTGGCCCTAAAAAAAATTCACATAAGGGAAGTGTTAATGAGAAAAATTCATGTGGCTTGAAAATTCCCCACACCACTCCCCCATAACTTTTTTAATAGTCACTCCTAAATTGTTTGACTGAAGATGTGTCAAAATATCAGTCACTGTCAAAAATAGTCCCATTTAGGACTATACAAGGGCTGTCACTAAGATTTTATGTTGTTAGGTATATGCCATTAGTAGGTGGGGATTTGAACAACTAGCAAATTCCTTTGGTTTAATAGGCCATTTGCACTGAGATGTCATGTGACATCATGTTTATGAAAATAAAGTTATATGATTTTGCCTTCGAAAAACAATTAGTGGGTCATATCTTAAACAAAATAATAGTGATTTGGTTTTTCAAACCCCACACCATTTTCTTACAATGAGTAAGTTCATAGCTGGTCACGTCACCAAAATGTGATTTTGAGAATTATGAATTAACTCTTTCTGAACACAAATTTTGCACTTAAACTTCAAGGAAAATGTCGAAAAGATGATGTGGTAATGTTTACAGCAAATCTGAGTGTAATTATCAAACATTTAACAAGGTATAAGCAAAAAGTATTTTTTGGCCGCCATGTTGGAGGGCAAGAGTATGCCCTCCAATATAGCAGCCAATCTAAATCATACTACTTTGTTGAAAAATCAAAGTGCCATAAAATACCTCCCTTAAACGCGTTTCCTTTCAAATTGCGGGTGCAAGATAATATTTATTTTTATGTGCTCTGTCAATTTTTGGTATCAACAAGATTCCAACTCATTGTTTAAAGGAAGCATTGGTCACGTGACCTCTTAGTGCAAGTGGCCTATTTACCTTTTGCTTGTTATAAAAGTAGCAAGAGGAGATGCTCCTAGTAACCAGGGGGAATCCCCACCTCTCAGCCCTTAGTGACTGCCTTGCTATCCACAACTGGACAATCATACTCCACCTGCTTATGTTGTTTTTTGTGACTTGATAATGGTGTTATGTTTTCTTTTTGACTTAATAATATTGTTCTAGTAACTGGTTTGTGTACAAAACAGAAAGCCTTTAATAGATTTTATGTGACAAAAATTAATTTGATCATAACAAAGAAAACACATGTTTGATTGGTCCCTTTGAACAAGTCATAAAAACTGTGGTCAATTTAATAAAACTTTTACAAGTGTAACTTTGTTTTTGAGTCTTAAAGCATTAGCTAGGCTTGCAAACTACCTTTGTCAAAGTTTTATTAAACTGACATTAAATTGACCTCTGATTGAAATAATGAATACATGGATTAATACTTGTCAAGAAATAAATTTCAGTGAATCCTTGCAGTGAAGATTTCCCTTACATTTATTTCTTAATTCCACAGTTCAAATATGTGAAATTCATAGATTCATCATTTCATATTCAGTTTTTTCTTGTTTGTTTTAGTATTTAATTTTCACTGGCTGGGAAAGAAGATTTGATTTAGGCCAAAAAAATAGTCAAATTCATGAATAAATCCCACCAGTGAGAGCCAATCAAACTGCAAGGATCACTAGTGGTTTCAAACAGGATGTAATAAAGCTCATAATAAAATATTATTCATCATCATACAAGCCCCCCAAAAAATAGAATCATTAATAATATTAACCTCAACACACCCACCTGTATTATGTTGGTTTGGTACTTGACACCAACCCTTTCTGTCCCTCTGGGTATTTCTTATGGGGAGTTTAGGACAGAACTCCCTGCCAAACAACTCAATCCCTTGACACCTCATGTAGCATTTTGTGTATTCACAAGGTTGGGGTTTGAGGAAACTTCTTGAGAGCTCAAAAGTCTTAAACCTCTGAATTCTGGTGCCCAAGGCAAAATGCCTAAAAGATTCAATCTTCTCTTTGTGTATGCTAATACAGTGAAACTTCTATTAAGCGGACACCTTCGGAGGTCTTCCTAAGTGTCCGCTTAATAGAGGGTGTCCGCTTATTAGAGGTTGGTAAAAATTGTGCAATGTTTGTTAACTATTAACTTTCGACGGTTACTCTGTACTGTGATAAAGTTCCATGTGGAAGCTGTGCTGTACTTTGTGCAAGACTTTCGGTCTAATCTACGGTTTATTGACAGCTTAATGCATTGATTTATCTTTATTAATCAGCTACAGTACGTATTTCAAGGACGTAATCCAATACTACTTTTGTCAATTCCGTCCAGTGTCCGCTTAATAGAGGTTATTAGCAATAGAAATTAGCCAAGTACAATTTATTTTAGTGTCGGTGTTCGCACTTAATAGAAGTCTCACTGTATATCCTTCACTCTTATACTTTCCCACAATTGTTGCTCAAGAGAACCATTCTTTTCAATGCAGCTGTTTTATTTGTACCTTTTTAGGGAAAACAGCCCTCAATTTTACCCAGGCCTACAGGAGTACATGCCTACTACAAAGAGCTGGCTGGATCATGCCATGATGAAATATGGTGGAACTTATTTGGATACTGATGTGGAGGAAGTCAAGACAATCGGTAGAATTATGATCATTTTTGCCATCTTTATTCCATATTGGACAATCTATTTTCAGGTAATTGCCAGTGACATAATTTTCAACAACGTTGTGAACTGTTTTTGCCGTAAAGCAGTGTTGGAAATTAACTGCTAACGGGTGATGCACATAAATTGGCCCAAAGTTGTCTTTCAATGTTCTTGCTTTACCAAGTAACAGCTCTCATTACCATTAGGATTAACAGCCTTTGTTTTTTGAGAAATAACTTTTTCCATAGTTTGTCAGTAGAATGTTTGATAAAGTTGCATGTCAGGCAATTTACATGCTAGTGTGGCTCGTTATTTAAAAGAAATGAATGGTGAACTAAATTTTGTGCAAGCTGTTAAGGTTTTATTCAGAAAAATTACCTTACTGCTACCTACTTTTGCAGATCTTTAATTTTGCATTTTTCAAACCACAAAATTCAAAACGGTCCATAAATAGAAGTCCACGAAAATTTTAATACCCATTTAGAACTTTCAAATCACAAAAAAAATGATAAACATATAACAACAACATTATGTGTATGAACAAAAAAACACAAAACTGGTTTTACCGGTAAGTTCCATTTTGTATCTTTTGTTGTGAAATAACATTTATTTGCAAAGATTTACCTAGAAATTTTTAAAAGTTTAGAGATTCTGAAAAATGAGATAAAGTTGAGAACGTTTCAATTACAAAATTTAATACCCTTTTTCATATTTAACCATTGAAATTGCGAAGACCCTGTAAAATACTGTCTTGTCAAAATCATGCGATTAAGTACCCCTGAAATTAACTACCAATAATAATAATAATAACTTTATTTAACGAGGGTAAAGACATTGATCCTCGTTAAATAAAGTTATTATTATTATTATTGGTAGTAATAATAATAAGGCAGCCCAATGCTCTGAACTAGTGAAATCCAGGGTCTCCTAGCTATTGATTTTCATAAAAAAAGTAGTCACCTCCTAGTCATCCAAGAGCACAAGTTCTCGGCACCACAGGCCACAGGGCACCACTGGAGCACAGCCCTGAGGCTCCTCTTATAGAGGTGTGGGCTAGTAAACTGAGCCAATAACATGCCCTTCTAGTAAGTGTGACTTTCTCCTTGTCATGTCCCTTGATCAACCTATTTCTAACCTTAACTATAAAGTACCTTGATCACTAACATGCAGTTAAACAGTACATCATTTTACATGTTCTAGATGAATTCCACTTTTCTGCTTCAAGGACTCCACATGAGACTAAGTTTTGACCCTGATGTGAAAGAGGACATCCATGAGGCTCATGTTATACCTGCGTGGCTGACTCTGGTGGATGTCTCTTTTGTTCTGATCTTGATTCCCATCATGGACAAGCTGGTTTATCCCTGGCTGGATAAAAAAGGATGGGGTTTGAGCATTTTCACTCGTATTTCAATTGGTAAATCATCTGTGGTCCTTATCTTTTGCATCTAATGATAATAATAATAATAACTATAACAAAATTGTCAAATCTGATTGGCTATCAACTGCCCTGATTTCAGCCTTAATTGGACAGTTTAATAGGATAGTACCCGTCATGCCTAAGTAATTGGACAGTACGCACCATCACGCGCACGCTTGAATGGCTTTTTTTTTCACTGCTAGCAAAACAAAATTTTGAATTTCTTGTGTTTTGATTTAAAAAATAGCGTATTATATCACACATTTTGTTAAAGTTATGATTAATTTGTAACAGAACTTCGTGTCGTCCAATTCGATCTATAATCATATTCGTGATTAAACAAATCAGACTCCCACTACGCGGTCGTCCGATTTTGTTAATCACTCATATGATTACAGACCGAATTGGACTCCACTCAGTCCTATTACCATTACTAATAATAATAATAATAATAATAATAATAATAATAACAATCTTTATACAAGGAGCTCTCTTCACAAAGAGTGATATTTAGTGAGAGGCCAAACCCATAAAAATGTGTGAAGTTTCATATGAGTTTGTTTGTTTTCTTACTGAACATTACAAGTTCTAAACAACCATGTATTAATATTAGTGATAAAGTAAAACAAATCTCTGCCACTTAACATTAGTGACTCTCAAGCATTATGAATCACAGTTCCCTGTCTTCCCTGATTTTCTTCTACAGTTTGTTGCAGTTTTAATTATTATTATCATGATAATAAAATTGTACATCATCATCAGATGGTAATTGCAATCAGAAACCACAGAAAGGTACACTAGTCGGATGTATCTTCACCCTGACCAAGTTAGGGTGGTGGAGCAATATTCACGACCAACAGTAACTTCCAGCTATCATTAACCATTGTCAGTCACATGTCTACAGAGCCAAGCAGAGATAGTGGCATTTTTTATATTTTCCTATTATTATCATCATTATCTTCATCACCATCATTATTAGTAATGGTAACAGGACTGAGTGGAGTCCAATTTGGTCTGTAATCATAGGAGTGATTAACAAAATCGCAGGAGTCCGATTTGTTTAATCACGAGTATGATTACAGACCAAATTGGACGACACAAGGTTCTGTTACCATTAATCACAACTTTAACAAAATTTGTGATATAATAGGCTATTTTTTAAATCAAAAGACAAGAAATTCGAAATTTTTGTTTTGCTAGCAGTGAAAAAAAAGCCATTTAAGCGCACGCGTGATGGCACATACTGTCGAATTTCTTAGGCATGACGCGTACTGTCCTATTAGACTGTCCAATTAAGGCTGAAATCAAGGCAGTTGATAGCCAATCAGATTTGACAATTTTGTTAAAGTTATGATTATTACTATTATTGTTGTTGTTGTTCACATTATTAATTATTATTGTTATAGTTATGTACACTTATACTCAGTTTTGATGGTCAACCAGAAAAAAATTCCCTTTGTGTGTGTTACAGCTAGTAACCGCGGGTCACAAGGGTCTGGCCATCTTTCACATCTCAAGGACTCTTTGTGGTATTCTTGCAGTTCCTAGTAATGGGGTCTTCTGCACGTGTCCTGGTCTTACCCTTACCAATATTCTGAAGCGACTTATTCAGGACTTACCACGTATTCAACTCTCAGCCAACTGGTACAGCAATGTCAATTATTTTACAGACTCTATCCTCCTTCCCCAGAATTACAATATCTGGTCTTCTAGCCTCTGTTTTGTGGTGGCATTGTATGTTAAATCCCACAACACTTCAATCTTATCAGTCTCCAACACACTCTGGGGCTGATGCTCATACCATTTATCTGCTCAGTTCATCCCGTTCTCACCCCATAATTCCCAATGAATCATTCTGGCAACATTGTCATGTCTCTTCGTATACTCTGTTTGCGCAAGTTTGGTACACTCACTAATGACATGGCTAACACTTTCACCTCTCTCATGACGCATTTTACACAATGCAGATTCCATACTCTTGTCCACTGGAAACTTCACATAATTCGTCCTCAAGGCTTGTTCTTAGGCCACACAGATGAGAGTTTTAGTGCTGGATTTAAGGTCAGCTTTTTTTAGCAAATTCCATGTTCCGTTGATGTCAGCACCCTCATCTTCCAGCTGCCTCAAAAACTGGCTATGCATTGTCTTATCACTCCCAGATTTCACTTGTCTTCTACTGCTTCCTTTTTAATTTTTTTTTGTCTGCTTTTACAGCAGCTTCTACATCTACCACTCCTGATGCTTTCACTGTCTCCAGCAACTGCCCCCCACTACTGTTCCTAACGTACCATCCAACACTGCTATCTTTGCTCTGGACACAAGATTCACAACTTATTAAACCCTATCCACCTTTTTCTCTTGGCATATAAAGCCTGTTGTTGTTATTATTATTGTTATTATTATTATTATTATTATTATTATTATTATTTTTATATTAGTAAAATCCAACTAGTGGTCAATTAATGCTGCATTCTGATTGGCTGAGCTACTACTAGGCTATATGTTATAGCCCACTAGTAGCGAAAAGCGCCGGCTTTTTGGCGCAATAAAAGGATTTAAGTCTAGCATTAACTACCGGGTAGCTAAAGTTGTTTTGTCTCGATTTTTTTGACCAACTAGTTGGATTTTACTAAAACAATTATTCCTCTCGCCCTGGTGGCCTCTGACTCAGAGCCCATTCGGGCTCGAGGAATAATTGTTAATTATTACTATTATTATTATTATTATTGTTATTATTATTATTATTATTACCATTATTATTATATTTGAGAAGGGTCAAGCAGGACTTCCCTAGACTAAACAGCTATAGATACTTTATTATTGGGATGTACATAGAAATTTTCATTTTTTAGTTTATACACAGTTGTTTACATTTGGTCTGTTGAAAACCACCGGACCACCAAGAAGTCTTTTTTAACTACAGTTATACTAAATTTGTATTTAATTTTCAATTTGAGAAGAGTTTAATAAAGTATGTTTTATTATTATTATTATTATTATTATTATTATTATTATTATTATTATTTAATTCGACAGGAATTGTAAATAGTGTTTTTGAATGAATAGTTTTTTCTTTTTTTTTTAAGCGAATTTAAAATTATTATTATTATTATTATTATTATTATTATTATTATTATTATTATTATTATTATTATTATTATTACAATGCTCTCCTTCTTATGAGAGATGGAAGATGTTTTACAAGTACCATGTCACGGATTATTGCATTTCATATTTCAGGCTTTTTGTTTGCTGTTGGTTCGATGGTGGTTGCAGGAATTGTTGAGTTTAAAAGACGTAAAGATGATCATGGTTGTGTGACTCAAACTATTGCTCATGTGAACTACACTGCTTGTATGTCCATCTACTACCAAATTCCACAGTACGGACTCATTGGAGTAAGCGAGGTTTTTGCAAGTGTTGCTGGTAAGTATTTTTTTTCGTTTTCCCATGTGACTGTTTTATTATTTTAATGGATTGCCTGTAGATAGAGTTCACGTAGGCTGAAATCCTTGCTAGACAAACACCCGTTCTTAAATTATCTCTCAGCATAAAAATTTTGATGGTTTTACTATTCTTTCTCGATCGAAAAACAGCTAACATTACCTACCTCCCATCAAAAACAACCAAATGTTAAACTAACGATAAACAACTGTTTAACTGTGACAAAAAAATGGATCGAAACACACCATCGGCATTTAAGAGTCTTCATAGCCAATAACATCACGGCTTATCTGAGAGACGCCCAATAACATCGCAACTATACTGACCAATCAAGTCAATAACGCGAGTTTGATACCATTAACTGACGTGATACAACTCACTTTGACCACTGCACCCTACCCCACAGGTTGTTAAGACGTCAACAACAGTCCTATTCGGGACTACGATCACCCACCCGATCATGCTTCACCGACTTATGAAATGACTCTTGGGTTCAAACCTTTCACACTGTTAAACTAAAGTTGGAAATTAACCTTTTTTCATTGAATTTTGAAAGCTGCTAATGCTACTTACAGGGTTCTCATAAAGAGTTAGTTGCCACAAACAAAGTCAGTAATATTGATTGTATTTTAGCCCTANATGGTGGTTGCAGGAATTGTTGAGTTTAAAAGACGTAAAGATGATCATGGTTGTGTGACTCAAACTATTGCTCATGTGAACTACACTGCTTGTATGTCCATCTACTACCAAATTCCACAGTACGGACTCATTGGAGTAAGCGAGGTTTTTGCAAGTGTTGCTGGTAAGTATTTTTTTTCGTTTTCCCATGTGACTGTTTTATTATTTTAATGGATTGCCTGTAGATAGAGTTCACGTAGGCTGAAATCCTTGCTAGACAAACACCCGTTCTTAAATTATCTCTCAGCATAAAAATTTTGATGGTTTTACTATTCTTTCTCGATCGAAAAACAGCTAACATTACCTACCTCCCATCAAAAACAACCAAATGTTAAACTAACGATAAACAACTGTTTAACTGTGACAAAAAAATGGATCGAAACACACCATCGGCATTTAAGAGTCTTCATAGCCAATAACATCACGGCTTATCTGAGAGACGCCCAATAACATCGCAACTATACTGACCAATCAAGTCAATAACGCGAGTTTGATACCATTAACTGACGTGATACAACTCACTTTGACCACTGCACCCTACCCCACAGGTTGTTAAGACGTCAACAACAGTCCTATTCGGGACTACGATCACCCGATCATGCTTCACCGACTTATGAAATGACTCTTGGGTTCAAACCTTTCACACTGTTAAACTAAAGTTGGAAATTAACCTTTTTTCATTGAATTTTGAAAGCTGCTAATGCTACTTACAGGGTTCTCATAAAGAGTTAGTTGCCACAAACAAAGTCAGTAATATTGATTGTATTTTAGCCCTAGAGTTTGCCTACAGAGAAGCACCGAAGACCATGCAAAGTTTAGTTATGGGACTGTTCTTTTTTGTCCAGTCTATTGGCAGCTTGCTTGGCGGTGCTTTGTATGAGCTCTGCTCCTTAGGCGGAAAAGACAGCTGGACTCCTCATTTGGGCAGTATTACTCCAGGTCCACAAGCTCTTAAAAACCACTTAGACTACTATTTCTTTCTCCTGGCTGGATTGCTGTTTGGTACCTGGATAATTTTCCTTGTTGTTACTCTGAGGTGTAAGTTGCCCTTCAGGCAATCAAATCGTAGGAGGACTATACCAGTAATACAGAAATCACAGGAAAATCTGCATACCACATCTTGATATATGATACATGTACAAGTACATGTAGGGTAATTATATTAAGAGTTTCAACTTGTAATGCTTATGAGCTGCCAGTAAGAACTATAGCTATAATTTATCCTGTATAATAAAGTGCCATGACTTGCTGCTTATAAGCCCTAGGCTTATAAACCTTCGTAACGGGTTTTGGGCTTATTTAGCAAACGGCAAACGTCAGATTCAAGTTGAGAATTTCTCAAAATAGAAAATGAGCCGATAAAAACAGCTCAAAACTATTCTTAAGGATAAAAATTGCGGTGAAACTACTAAGTTATGTTTCGTAATAGAGCGGTTTTCACTTGACTGTCGTAAAACCAAAACCAAAGTAAATACACTAGCCAACCAAAGGGCGTAGTAAAACCAAAACCAAAACCAAAACCAATCCCTTTCGACAGTCAAGTGAAAACCGCTCTAATGAACAGTAAATGACAAGTAATGGGGAAACTTGGTCACGTGGCACAAATTCGCGTTTGACTTAAAAGTGATGCTCAACCTCTCTATTAACGGAAAGGCTTATGTCCGAGGGCGGTTATAATTGGAATAGGATTAGCACTGAAGCGGTGCTGATCAAAATACGTTTGACTTTACTGGTATTTAAGTAAGCTTCAGAACGTCATAATAAATCGAATCCATTTCAATACTAGTGAGAGAGGGGCTTATGATTGGATGCAAGTTTTTGATGGGTAAATGGTCCTATAACTACACGGGGGGAGGGGGGATCTGATAAGCGGGAGTTTACTATAGTACACATAGGGTAATAAGAATGTAGACTTGTTATGCTTTCAAGCTGCCAGTAAAAACCTTTAAAAGTTTAGTTTATAATGTAGGATACAGTCAGTGACAAAATTTTGGGGACACTGTCCTCAAATGGGGTAAGTTCGAAGAACAGAACAATCCACACCCTCACCCTCCCCTCCCTTCAAAGTTGGGGTGGTTGTTTGTTTCCTAAAGGTGCCTTAACAGTGGCAGACATTGCAAAGAGGAAGTGGGTGGGAAGCGTTATTTTTCCCTTTTAAAGTTTGCAAAACGTCAGAAAGGCCCTTTAGTGCAACGTGTTTCAGCTAATGTTGTCGCCGATTGCTTGTTCAGTATGGGGAAAAAAATAAACGTGGGATTTCTCGAAAACTAAGCATCAAAACCTTCAGATTTTGATAACTTAAATGAGTTCATATGATAACTGAAAATTGTACAAAGTGAGAAGGGGCTTACAGAAATGGTTGGTTATATTTTTTTGGTCAAAATTGACAATATTGGCTTTTTGAAACTTAAATTCCCTCTCGCCTCGTCGCTCCTCCAATAAAAACCATTCTCTGATGTTACCTGAAATGGCGTCGTTAGTAGTATATGTACTTAGGTTTACAGTGATATTTAGTATTCAAATTAATGGGGTAAAGGGTATTCAAGCGAAAAATAATAGTTCAATAATACCATCCCCTTCCCCCACCTTAATAATAAATAAATAATAAATAAAGGTCTGTATTGTTTTTTAAGCAAAAATACATGCTAAAAACCAGGAACACTTACATTAAAAACAGCAAAAAGAATTACAAGGCTTATAAAATTCCATGTAGAAGCATTGAGTTTAAAATTCAATATCTTTATTATATTAAATACCTCCTCTATATTTGAAAAATGACGTATTAAAATAACTATTTTTGAAACGCTGGGTATTAACCCTAGGGAGTTGACTGCTAGGAACTCGGAGGCGCGCTGAACTTTCTTTTGTTTTGGGGACGGAAGGGTACAGGGGGTAGCCGGGCATACTGGAGATCTTCTTGAATAGTGAGCGATCTACCTCTTCTAATACGTCGTATATGTCAATTTGGTACGAAAGATATTTGCGTTTAAAGCAGCGCTTTAGAAAATTCTGACCCGTTGTTGTTGTGACCCTCGTGGGTAATTAGAGGAGTCCGCAATCCTAATTTCCGGGTAGCCAGCGTATACTTCGACTTCCACTAAGAACGAATGGGAGGCATAGGGCGCGATCTGATCACGCGCGTCTTGACCTTTTAACATGGAAAAGTTGTGCAAAGCACAGCGTTGGAGCAAGAACATTGCATCGATCTTACCTGCACTCCCTAACCTTTGATTATTACAAGTTTGAGCTTTGGTTTTAGACTAGCACATGGGAGAAAATACATCAATATTCGTGGGTAAACAGGTGTCACAGCACCAATATTGAAGGAGTCATACTAATCCTAGAATGAAAAATCTGAGGATATTTCCAGGAATTTTAATCACAACCCCGAAAAGGTTTTGCTGGAAAAATGGAAATTTCAAATCTCCCTTGTAAAATGAAAACAATATGATTTGTACAGATGTGCTATTTTTCTTCCCTACTTTGCGTGAGTCGTATGGGACAGTAACTAAAAATTTATTAACCTTGTTTACTTTATCTTATACCAGCTAGCCAATCAACCCTGTATAATCGACCTTATGCTTGTTTTAAAAAAAACTAATCGTTTTCAGCAATAACATTTACTATTGCTATACGTTCACGGTAACTGAGATTAAGAAATAACAGAGATTGTAACTTCACTATTTTCCCCTTCTCAGCATCGTTTGTCCTCACTAATACTAAATCGGGATATGGGAAGAGTCTGGGAAGTTATGCGATCTCAATGCGTTACGCGTAATGGGATGTAATAAGAATAATGGAGAAAATTAATGCCTCTAGTCTGCTTGGTTCCTTATTTGTTTTATACCCCTACTGTAAACTCGTTATGAACAGAAACAATGAAAAATAAAAATTGATTTAAGGGACGGACCACAAGAAAAGTGAAAGAGGGCGGTGTGGAATCGAAAAACCAAAAAAAAACTATCTATACTTGAAAATTTGACGTAAAAATAGACTACTTGCAGTCCGCCTTTTCTCTTAAAATCCGTCCAGTTCTTATCTCATCCAGCGCGATTGCAGTAACTTTGCAAAGAAAAATAAGAGACTGCTAGCAGTTTAACGTAAAAAATGCACACATGACGAACCCAAGAAGCAGAAACTCTTCCACGCTTCCTTGACGTCCCCACGTACAAAAATTGAACCGGAACATACATTACTATTATATTACAAACCCACGGCTTGAAAAAGAAAGCTAAAACACCAAGATATGGCTAACGTGCACAAAAGATGACGAAGTGCAGGCGTTTGAAGGGAACGGGAGGGGCGTTACTAAAGTGCGGTAGGGCACGAAGGGCGCATCCACTGAGTTCTGTTGCTCACGCAGACTATTGACCATCACAAGGAAACGATCTTTACTAAGTGGGTTCAATTCCCGGGGGAGCTCATGGAAAATCCGGGTGGCGTGTGCGGTGTGCTCCCTGCAGCCTGCAGGGCGCGACCATTGCGTTCTGCTGCGAGCGCCTCGCAAGCTATTGACCATCCCCAGGAAACGATCCTCGCTAAGTGGGCTCAACACCCGGGGGTTTGAGGGGGGGCGCTCATGGAAAATATGGGTGGCATATGCGGTGTGCTTCCTAAAACCTGAAGTTTGCACCCATTGCGTTGTGTTGCGCGCACCACACAGACTATTGACCATCACTAGGAAACGATCTTCACTAAGTGGGCTCAACACCCGAGGGTGGGGGAGCTCATGGAAAATCCGGGTGGCGTGTGCTGGTGGGGGTGGGGTCTTTGGAAAATACAAAGGGGGATATGCGTTGTGCTTTCTTAAATTTTTTACCCCAATTTACACCTTATTTGCTATCCTAGAAGAGGAATGATAAAAGACAGACCCTGGTTCCAGTTAGTGACAAAGTTTACTCCACCTCAGCCCCAAATGTAAAATCTTTACCCATTTTCAGATCAAAAGAGGTAAAAACATGCCCTTTGGCGCCATACGTACCGATATACTGAGCTTATATAAGACAGTATGTCCCCCCGGGTGCAACATTACCTTACATTATTTGTATCGTTTCAGTTAAATCCTACTCACATGGACACACATGTACGTCAAAGGGTGCCGGATAATATTAATCAGCATAAATGTATTTAAAAGGACTTATTTGAAAAAATAATGATTTCAAGTTTCAAAGTAAAAATTGATACCTCCAGCCAGTCTCTTATGTTACTGGAATTTGATAAACACTGCTATCTTTGCTCTGGACACAAGATTCACAACTTATTAAACCCTATCCACCTTTTTCTCTTGGCATATAAAGCCTGTTGTTGTTATTATTATTGTTATTATTATTATTATTATTATTATTATTATTATTTTTATATTAGTAAAATCCAACTAGTGGTCAATTAATGCTGCATTCTGATTGGCTGAGCTACTACTAGGCTATATGTTATAGCCCACTAGTAGCGAAAAGCGCCGGCTTTTTGGCGCAATAAAAGGATTTAAGTCTAGCATTAACTACCGGGTAGCTAAAGTTGTTTTGTCTCGATTTTTTTGACCAACTAGTTGGATTTTACTAAAACAATTATTCCTCTCGCCCTGGTGGCCTCTGACTCAGAGCCCATTCGGGCTCGAGGAATAATTGTTAATTATTACTATTATTATTATTATTATTGTTATTATTATTATTATTATTACCATTATTATTATATTTGAGAAGGGTCAAGCAGGACTTCCCTAGACTAAACAGCTATAGATACTTTATTATTGGGATGTACATAGAAATTTTCATTTTTTAGTTTATACACAGTTGTTTACATTTGGTCTGTTGAAAACCACCGGACCACCAAGAAGTCTTTTTTAACTACAGTTATACTAAATTTGTATTTAATTTTCAATTTGAGAAGAGTTTAATAAAGTATGTTTTATTATTATTATTATTATTATTATTATTATTATTATTATTATTATTTAATTCGACAGGAATTGTAAATAGTGTTTTTGAATGAATAGTTTTTTCTTTTTTTTTTAAGCGAATTTAAAATTATTATTATTATTATTATTATTATTATTATTATTATTATTATTATTATTATTATTATTATTATTACAATGCTCTCCTTCTTATGAGAGATGGAAGATGTTTTACAAGTACCATGTCACGGATTATTGCATTTCATATTTCAGGCTTTTTGTTTGCTGTTGGTTCGATGGTGGTTGCAGGAATTGTTGAGTTTAAAAGACGTAAAGATGATCATGGTTGTGTGACTCAAACTATTGCTCATGTGAACTACACTGCTTGTATGTCCATCTACTACCAAATTCCACAGTACGGACTCATTGGAGTAAGCGAGGTTTTTGCAAGTGTTGCTGGTAAGTATTTTTTTTCGTTTTCCCATGTGACTGTTTTATTATTTTAATGGATTGCCTGTAGATAGAGTTCACGTAGGCTGAAATCCTTGCTAGACAAACACCCGTTCTTAAATTATCTCTCAGCATAAAAATTTTGATGGTTTTACTATTCTTTCTCGATCGAAAAACAGCTAACATTACCTACCTCCCATCAAAAACAACCAAATGTTAAACTAACGATAAACAACTGTTTAACTGTGACAAAAAAATGGATCGAAACACACCATCGGCATTTAAGAGTCTTCATAGCCAATAACATCACGGCTTATCTGAGAGACGCCCAATAACATCGCAACTATACTGACCAATCAAGTCAATAACGCGAGTTTGATACCATTAACTGACGTGATACAACTCACTTTGACCACTGCACCCTACCCCACAGGTTGTTAAGACGTCAACAACAGTCCTATTCGGGACTACGATCACCCACCCGATCATGCTTCACCGACTTATGAAATGACTCTTGGGTTCAAACCTTTCACACTGTTAAACTAAAGTTGGAAATTAACCTTTTTTCATTGAATTTTGAAAGCTGCTAATGCTACTTACAGGGTTCTCATAAAGAGTTAGTTGCCACAAACAAAGTCAGTAATATTGATTGTATTTTAGCCCTAGAGTTTGCCTACAGAGAAGCACCGAAGACCATGCAAAGTTTAGTTATGGGACTGTTCTTTTTTGTCCAGTCTATTGGCAGCTTGCTTGGCGGTGCTTTGTATGAGCTCTGCTCCTTAGGCGGAAAAGACAGCTGGACTCCTCATTTGGGCAGTATTACTCCAGGTCCACAAGCTCTTAAAAACCACTTAGACTACTATTTCTTTCTCCTGGCTGGATTGCTGTTTGGTACCTGGATAATTTTCCTTGTTGTTACTCTGAGGTGTAAGTTGCCCTTCAGGCAATCAAATCGTAGGAGGACTATACCAGTAATACAGAAATCACAGGAAAATCTGCATACCACATCTTGATATATGATACATGTACAAGTACATGTAGGGTAATTATATTAAGAGTTTCAACTTGTAATGCTTATGAGCTGCCAGTAAGAACTATAGCTATAATTTATCCTGTATAATAAAGTGCCATGACTTGCTGCTTATAAGCCCTAGGCTTATAAACCTTCGTAACGGGTTTTGGGCTTATTTAGCAAACGGCAAACGTCAGATTCAAGTTGAGAATTTCTCAAAATAGAAAATGAGCCGATAAAAACAGCTCAAAACTATTCTTAAGGATAAAAATTGCGGTGAAACTACTAAGTTATGTTTCGTAATAGAGCGGTTTTCACTTGACTGTCGTAAAACCAAAACCAAAGTAAATACACTAGCCAA